TGTGGAGGTTGTCGACGTTCTTGCGGTTGAATACAAGCATCTGGACGATATACATCTCTCGTGTTCACAGTGATATCCGTTTCGCCCATAACATCGAGTTTGCTACGGTTCCAGGTATACATCTCACCAATTAATACTCCTTGTACCACTGAATGAGGCTTTAGAGGTATCTCGTGAGCTATGACTTTCCCATCAATGAGCCGGTGTTTAACAGAAACCTTTGGTTCTCCGGCGCAAAACTCAAGATAAGTTTCGCGTGGTACGTTACTTGCCACAACGATCCCTCGTCGATAAACTTCATCCGTTCCATCTTGTCGCTGAATGGCCATAAGGTGACCCCTTGCTTTATCAAAATCCCATGAGCTCCATAAGAAAGTGGGGTGATAAAACGACACTGAGACCGTGTTTTTGTTTTTGCCAATTCGTGGTGTCATACAAACCCATTAAAAGATTATTATCCATTGTTCGAGTTACGTATTCTTTATGATGTCACATACAAATCATCTGATAAAAAATTACTTTATGATAACAATGCAATGTTGATATTCAAGCATTTCGAATTCGTTATTCTGCTATTTTTCGTACTGTAAAAGTGAATACCTTACTTAATTCAATAAATCAAATCGAGAGAAAAAATAAACTTCTATCCAGTTCTTTCATTGGTTAGTGACTTGTGTAAATTGAATAATTCGATGTTGACATACAGTCTGGGACTAAAAAAACCGCCCAAATTTTAAAAGCAAAATAAAACAATTGATAATTCGATGTCCATGAATAATGACTTCATACTGTATATAGTGAATCCTTCAATCAAAAATAATGAGAACTCCATGTCAGAGACACATAATCGATTATATTTTTCCATGTGATTTGCGTAACTTTGCTGTGACAAGCTTGTCACACTTCTTTCAATGAAAACAAAGTATTTTCGTAGGTAATAGAATAAAATCCGAAGTGCGTGTTGCCTCCGCTTTCCACGCTTCTTTTTTTCTGCGAAAGTAAACGCTATTCTTCTTGAGCGGGACATCGGCTCTAGGGTTTTTTATCTTAACGGCTCGTTGATTAGCGTTGCTTTTGTCTTTTTTTTTCTCCGCTATTAGTTAATACACCGCGAGCTTTTTTTTTGTTCCACGTTTTTCACAGTCTTAACATTGCTTGCTCCGTTAAAAATCATGACAAGAAACGCTTAACTTTGCAACCAGCTCATCTAATGACAAATCTGTCCCACATCTTCTGACTTCCAAGTGATTATCACGAGACAATCCACGGATGAAGTGTTCCTTAAGGTAAATTTCTTTATTATTTACTCCCAATTGTAATATTATAGGCAGGGGTTTAGTAGATGTACTAGGCTTAGAGATTGATACTTCCCATAAAGAAGAAGCA